AAATGCTACAATCAAAGCGTATCCTCTTGGGTTTTGTTTTCTGTCCCTGTTTTACTGCACAGTACAGTAAAACTCCATTGGTCTGGCATCCAATGCTCCAGCACTCCTGATGGTCCGGCACCATTGGGAACCCAGAAGTGCTCGGGGCAGCTGGACAATTGGAGCTGCTCTGGGCCCGGCTTCCCCAATTCAGCCGCTGCTAATGCTACAATCAAAGCGTATCCTCTTGGGTTTTGTTTTCTGTCCCTGTTTTACTGCACAGTACAGTAAAACTCCATTGGTCTGGCATCCAATGCTCCAGCACTCCTGATGGTCCGGCACCATTGGGAACCCAGAAGTGCTCGGGGCAGCTGGACAATTGGAGCTGCTCTGGGCCCGGCTTCCCCAATTCAGCCGCTGCTGAAACTGACCAGCAGCTGACTCGGGGAAGCCGGGGACAGAGCAGCTGGGGTACTGCCGGGTTGGTCCCGTAGCGCTGCCCCTCGGCGCTGCAGGACCAACCCAGCAACACCCCAGCTACTCTGTCCCAGGCATCCCCAAGAGCAGCTGGGGGGGTGCCTGGGAGCGGCTGACTCCGGGAAGCCCAGGGCAGCAGGCTGCTCTGCCGCAGGCGTCCCAGATTCAGCCGCTGCTGAAACTGACCAGCAGCGGTTGAATCGGGGACTCCTGGGGCAGAGCCGGACTATTGGAAGGGGGGGCTATGAGGGGTCTAGGGTGGCATCCCCTCCCACCCCACTCCACCCCAGACCCCTCATAGCCTCCTCTTCTGATAGTCCGACATAGCTGATAATCCGGCACCCCCTGGGTCCTAAAGGTGCCGGATTATCGGAAGTTTACTGTACATTGGACAGATTGAGATCCATTGTGCTTTGGCCAACACTCTCCCCTCACAAACAGTCAGGCTCACTGCTATTTTTGGATAGCTGACTTCATGGCACTTCTCAGGAATCACTTTCCTTATCCTTTGTGAGAGTACTGATATGTTTTGACTGTTACACATACCCTGTTGTGTGTTTAATGGATACGTGTCAAACGTGCTGTCCAAGCCTTTGTAGACTATGCATGTGAGTCACTCTTGCTGCTAGTGAGCCCTTTTATTGATCCAGTTAGCTCAATATTTTGACTTCCTTTTGCTATACATGCCCCAGTAGTTGGGAGCCTCAGGCACTGGCGTTTCAGTGCTGTTTTAGAAGGAAATGTGTATTATTTGTTATTTACACCACTATAAATCTGGAGTGGCTGTTGGCTTCAGTAGTGTAAATCGAGGTTTAACTAGGTGTCATGCAGAGCAGAGTTTGCCCCAGAGTTAGATCTTGGGGTAGGGACTAACTTTTTCTCTGTGTTCTGTGCAGTGCTGAGTACACTGATGCCACTTTGCAGTCCCTCAGGGGGACCCCTGAGCTAGAGAGCTGACTGAGGGATTTGCCCAGTGATTTGCTTCTGGTGCTGAGTGGAAAGGCTGGAAGCATTTTGGATGTTTGCTGATGTCAAGTATCAGAGGGGTAGCCATGTTAGTCTGAATCTGCAAAAGTGGCGAGGAGTCCTGTGAGGTGTGTGTGAATTCACACCTCCAGATCAGCTACTAGAAGTGGGCCTCATCCTCCTTGATTGGATCCACCTGGTCATCTCCAGCCTGACTCTGGCCTGCCTATTTATACCTGCCTCTGGAAATTTCCACTACATGCATCTGACGAAGTGGGTCTTTGCCTACGAAAGCTTATGCTCCAACACTTCAGTTAGTCCATAAGGTGCCACAGGACTCCTCGTCGATGTTTGATGAGTCTCTTATACTCCCTTATGGAGTTCTGGAAAACATGACTGTGGAGCAGGTGAACATCTGCTGCTCCTCAACTCTGAGCTGACCAAGGATAGATCGGGAAATGTGGAGCTCTCCCACATGGCAATAAGGGGACTTTGTGCTCCTTGGAATTTGAAAAAAAAGATGCGTCTGATGGTATTCCCATTTTAAAAAATACTAAAAGGCAATTGAATGGAAATATTTTAACAATCTTCTTTTTTTAAGAAATCCGAAATAAAAATAATCCTGTGTTGAAAAATACAATCATTTAAATAAAGCATGTACATTTTCCTTTTATTTCCCTCCCCCCAAAATAAGTGAATTAAGGACCTGAGCAACGCCAGGTAAATATTCTAGTTGACGATAATTAGACTGAAAGGCAGATGTAGTTAGCTGTGCACGTGACTGAGCCTACATCCTCTTAGTGTCTGCCTGCCTTATGCATATTTATTTCCTGATGAACCTGTATATGGCTGGGTTCCTGGGATGGTAAGTCCTCTATAGCAGCGGTTTTCAAACTTTTTTTCTCATGACCCAGTTGAAGAAAATTGCTGATGCCTGCAACGCAGCATAATTTTACTGAAGTGTGAGCTCTGGGATGGGGCTGAGGATGTGAGCTTTGAGCTGCCGGAAGGGGCTCTGGCTATGAGAGGGGGTCAGGGCTGGGGCAAGAGGGGCTTACCTTGAACAACTCCCGGTCAGGGGTGTAGCGGGAGTGCTAAAGCAGCTTCCTGCCTCTCCTGGCACCGCAGACCATGCTGTGCTCCAGAAACAGCCAGCAGCAGGTTCCCAGCCAATAGGAATGCAGATCTAGTGCTTGGGGTCGGAGCAGTGCATAGAGCCCTGTGCATTCTCTCCCCCCATGCCACCTAGGAGCCAGGCCTGCTGCACAGTCTGTGGTGTAAGGACAGGCAGGTAGCTGCCTTAGCACCTCCACTGATTGCCTGATCCCCCTGCAGGTATGAGACCCGGTGCCGGACGTTCCACAACCCCAGTACTGGGTCATAACCGGTCGTCTGAAATCCACTGTCCAATCGCATGGATTATGGAAGTAGAATCAAGTGTCTCAATGAAGTCTTTGTCTTTGCGTGGGTGTTTACAGGGCAAATCTCTCCATTCCTTGGCATCCCACTTGATCGCTCGGATCTCCACTGGTGTTGTGCACGCACACATACTCCTGGTCTCATCCCACCCTGCTTTCACTTACTCAGGAGATCGAGTGGCCATTGAGCCTGGTGCTCCGCGAGACATCGATGAGTTCTGCAAAATCGGACGCTACAACCTGTCTCCGACTATCTTCTTCTGTGCGACACCTCCCGATGACGGAAACCTGTGCCGATATTATGCACACAACGCCAACTTTTGCTACAAGTCAGTCTCTCACTGTCTCTGTCCACTCCCTGTGTGGGGTTAGCTGTATTCCTCCCCCTCGCTCCTTCAGCCATTTGTACCACAGGGATACTAATCTAGTTACATGGAGCAGTTCCTGTTATCTCCTGAGATGCCCCTAGCATAGGTGGGGTTTATATTGAGGCCTGATAGCCAAGTGTTTGGGATCTCAAACTTTTTGTACTGACCACTATGTAATGCACTTTGAGAGCTATGGATGCTAAGTACTGTAGAAGAGCTGGGATTGTTTGTTTGTTTTGATTTCTACCCGTTACCATGGTATCTGAAAATATTGTGACAGGAACTAGTTGGACATTTCTCCCCCGCAGATTTCCAATGTCTTATTCACTGCTTTAACTGTAGTAGGTTTCTTTTCTTATGCCCTCTCTCGTCTTGCTCTTATTTTTACAAGGCAAAGTAAGGCCTGATGGTTTTTTGGGTTCTGCTCTTGGAAACTGCAGGAAGGGCTTTGCCTCATCTATCAAGGAGAGCGAGCATCATTGCTGCTCTGTAGAAAGCACTGCAAGAACAGCTAAACCTGTAACACAGTTTGTCATTAATTGAAAAGATGCAGACTGGTCCTGATTGTCCCAGGCAGCCAGTACTCCTGTTAATCCAGCCTCCATGCAACACTGAGGAGTATTTTGACCCCACTGATACCAAAGGTCACTTAATAGTTTTCCCAGAAACTCATTTTGGCTCCAGTTAAATAGATGAGCATTCCTGTTCAGCGGCACACTGAAGCACATGCTTGATTACAATACAATGGGACTTTGCTGAATTGGAGCTTTAGGAAATCCAGCAGTCCAAATTCATCCCTGCACGACTGCTCTGGCTTCAGTAGAGCTGTTCTAGGGATGAATTTGGTCCCGCTTATCCACCCCATGGAAATACCCTGTTTGCAGTGCCCTGTAGATATTTAATCTATGGAGTCTGCTCCCCCATTGAGGCCCTTGTGGAACAGGGAGTGCCATGTGCACTGAAGAAAGATCAAATCCCTAAATCCAGAAATTGACTAATGCCAGAGACAAACCTTCCTCTTTCATTTGTGCCTGGGCATGCTCTAGAAATAGCATTCCTGATGTCAGAAATGGACCTGCTGCCTTGGAATTGTTCTCTCATAGTGACAGGACTTTGGGCTCTTACTGGAAAGACTAGGAGCATTTTGCAAACCTTCATGAATGAAGGCTCTTTGCAAGCTATCTGAGCAGGATGAACTCTCTTTCAGATGCGTTAATTGAAGCACTCCTTCGCACTGTGAGTCAGCTGCAGAGCCCCAACAGACCCAGTGCCCTACTCTGCACAGGGAGGGAACAAGCATCTGGCTTGGTCCCTTGTTCAGATTATAATAAAAACCGCACTTTGCCTTTCACTAGCACCTTCCATGTGAGTATAGTCAGGCTCTTTGAAAGCATTTATTAATGTAACCACATGGTTCCTGACAGATGGGCAAGAATGATTCACCCAGCAAGTTATGGGCTTCATTTTCCAAAGTGTGAGACTAGATGACAGACTGATCATGGGTGTGTGCACTTGTAACTGAGGGTGTGTCTACACAGCACCCTAAACTTGAAATAAGATGCAATTTGCGCTACACAAATTGTGTATCTTATTTCGATTCTAATTTGAAATTTGGCGTGTCTACACAGCACCAAATTTTGAAATAACACATTATTTTGAGACATCCCTTAACCTTCGTGGAACGGGCTAGCTTTTAGTATCCTGCAGTGTAGACGTAACCCGATTGTCCTCCTGGCAGCAGGTATATAGATACCCATGTGGTGCTAATGTTCTACACAGGTATAATAACTAGGTAGTTCCTCCTGTTTCACTCTCATCACTCCATACTCCAAGCACGGTTGCTGCTGCAAAGGGCTGAAGACTCCACAAAGACCACTAGGGACTTTGTTTCATTAATCAGATTTTCCTGGGAGTTGGGCAGCAATATGGATTCCTTTAAAAGTTAGATTAGTGAACTCCCTCCCCCACTAGTCACTGTTCAGACGAATTACTGACATGTACGCTCCTGGGCTGCTTATGCTCTGAGACCTGGCCCATGAAGTACCATTTCTATATGCAGTATGGCACTGGCGATTGGGCTGATAAAGCAGCAGGGTAGTTTTATCAGAGACTCATATTCTTACTCAGGCAAAATTCCCCTCCCCCTCAAAAAAGAAATTGGTTGCTCAAGGGGATCATGTAGGATTAGACCTGTAAAGCAACAGAGTATAGTCTGCCTTAGCACAGGACTGGAGCTCATCTCTCTTGTAGCAGCTCAGAAGTGACTTGTCATAAGGTCTGACTCCCACCTGCCATGTGCCTTTTGTCATTTTTTCCTCCGGTTCCAACTGCATACCAGACACTGCCACTGTGGTTTGGGGGAGGGGTTGACTCCCTCTTTGTACCAGCTGTTAGGTACTCCACTAACTATGAAAAGCAAAGGCCTTTGATTCTTCCTGGGAGAGTGAGTGCTGGGACCTAAAGATACCAAGCATTAAACTCTTTGAACATTTGAGACATTTATATAAATCTCAGGCCAATCCACCGGTTGAAATGTTTCCCACATGTCAGTGACCTGCAATAGGATATGATGGGGGTAGTGAATGAGAAGGCTGTCTGATCATCTCTCCCTTTGTTTTGTGAATGAAGTGGCCAGCTCTATAAGCTATAGAATTGTGTGGGTCTGACAGGAGACACCTTGGGAAAATTTCTCTTGTTAACCTGAAGAGTGGATGATCTGCAGCACCTCTCCCCTAGGAATAAACCAATGATAGAAGCTGAAAGTGCAGAATCCTTTTCCCTATATGCCTCCACAAAGCCAGGAAAGGCCTCTACCCCCCAGCATCCTCACGACTCCTTGCCGCAAACACCAAGCATCATGTTTTGTAGGGTTGGTGCCTAAATTGTGCCTGTCCAAAGAGAGATTGCAGAGGCTGATAGATACTTAGCTGCATAGTAGCCTCTTACGCAGTGCACAGGTGTGTGTTTTATTCCAAGAAGGGAATTTGCCGGCATAGCTTAGATGCTAACCTTTGCTGAGCTGGTCCTGTGGATCATAAAATATCAGCTTCCCTCAGCCACTGTTAAAAGCCATTGCCGTGACCGTTGTGTATGTCTCTGGTTCTTGCAGGCTTCCAGATAATGTCACCTTTGAAGAAGGAGCCCTCATTGAACCACTTTCTGTGGGAATCCACGCTTGCCGACGAGGCGGGGTCACTCTTGGATCCAAAGTTTTAATCTGTGGAGCCGGTATGGAATAACCCGCCTTGTGCTTTCCTCCTGGCGTGAGTGCTCTGGCATCGAGCAAAGAAACAGTGACCAGCCTGGTTTCAGGGTTCAGAATGGAGCTTTGTGTACTGATAACTCCAGTCTCCATGGCCAGCACCTCTCTGTTGAGGCTGAGGGTGACCTGTGACAGTAGTGCCCTCCTTGACCACACTTTGGCCAGCCCTGCTCCAAATGGATTTTGAAGTGTGTGTTGTGGCTCAACAGGCAGTTTGGGTGGTAACAAGATACCTAGGAGTCTGGCCGTGTTCTCCTCACCGCCAAACCTGGAGCAAGGCTCGGTGCCACAATCCTTGGAGCATTACTATACCCCCAGCACCGTGAGCTTTAGTGTACGCTCGCATCACAGTGGTCCTGATTTTCCTTCACTCTGATATCTCCTTTTCCTTTCCTGTTGCCCAGGACCCATTGGGCTGGTTTGCTTGCTCGTCGCGAAGATGATGGGTGCTGCCCAAGTAGCAATTACTGGTAAGATCTTCTTTTAACCCTCAAAACACTTCATGTCTGAAAAAGGCTGTTCCTGTGTAGCCAGTCGCTGTGCAAATTAGCAGCAGAAATGCCAGGTTGTAAGGACAAAGCTGTGCTAGGTACCCATGTGAAGATCATCATCTGGTGTCTGCATGAGGCATTCAGGTATCTTTAGCTGTCCAGTTTTTCTGTATGCTTCTTGAGCTATACAGATTTAAATAGGACTATGCTTCATTAGCACATGTTTTACTGCAGGGGTAGGGAATCTTTTTTGTGTCGGGGGCCACTGACCCACAGAAAAATCAGTCAGGGTCTGTGCACAAGTGAGAAACAAAAAAATCCCCAAACCCTCAGTGATGTGCCCTCCCCCCCCCAAACTAAGAAGGAAAAAGACACTCCCCAGAGCCTTGGTAAGCCCAGACTAGAAGATTGTGTGTGCTCCAGGGGACTGGAGCACCATCACGGGCTTCCCAATACTTGGGAGCCCCGAGCCTTGGGGGCTGGATCCAAGCAAGCTGAGGGCCTCATCCAGCTCCCGAGGTTAAGGTTCCCCACCCCTATTTTACTGAAATGTTCCCCAGGCCAGAGACTGGATGCAACTGTCCCCTTCACAGCTAGGAGTTCATGTGCTCATCATCATTGCAATTGTTGTTTCTTCTTTGAGTGATTGCTCATGTGCATTCCAACAGGTTTGTGCGTGTGTGCCGTATGCACGGTTGCCGGAAAGCTTTTACCCTAACGGTATCCATCGGGTCGGCTTTGGAATACTCCAGAGTGGCACTGCCATGGCGGTGCATAGAAGACACTGCTGTTCCCCATCCTCTCAGTTCCTTCTTGCCCCCTGTGATGGTTGTTCAAACAGCTCCAGTCTCTTGCACTACAAGTATCTTGGTACCCTAGTTTCAGGTAGTTGTTATAGTTCTTATAGTTAGTAATTATAGAAGTGTCGTATACTTGTTCGGGATCCTCTCTCCCTCAACTTAAGTCCCCTTACCAGGGTATGCCACACTCTCAAGGGTCGAAAGCCTATGAGAGCTGTGACAAACATATGCCCGAGGGTGATCCTCATGCCGATTGTCTTAAGCGTTTGTGTGAGGGACATCACATCGACAAGTGCCCCATTGTCAAAGCATTTGTCCTCAAACCGAAAAGGAGTGAGATCGCCCCCTCAAACTCCTCTTGATGGAAGTGGTGCTCCAGCTTCAACGAGTACCAAAGCCGACTTTGGCACTGATGATGCATAGCACTCCAGCTTCGATACAAGATACCTCAGCACTGAAGAAGCATTGCACCCACAGGCACCTCTCCTCTGTTCGCTGTAGGGGTTTGAGCTGCAGCACCGCTGTCAATCTCCAGTGCCACTCAAAAGGAAGAAACCCTAGAGGGGCTGGTCGCCTGCTAAAGCACCGTACAAAGACTCGCGTGGGGCGCTCAGCACAGGACACCCATCATTGGCACCACAGCTCCCCTGAGGGCACGTTCTCTGGCATGGCCAGGCACTGTTAGGGCACCGACCTATGGGCTGCCATGTGCACCTTTACCCTCTGGTGCCCAGGCGGTGTTGATGCTGGCACCACATGTTACAATGGTGGCACTGATGGCAGCACTGCCCATTCAGCACAGGGGCAAGCCTGCCATGCTGTGTTGTGACTCTACCTCATCGCAGTACCATTCCCCAGCACCATCAGGCTTCACATTTCTGTGGTCCAGCATGGAGGACTCCGGGGATGAACATTCAGCGTCCACTCATAACAAGTACTGATCCTGCTCTTGGTTGGCATCATTCATGGCACTGTAAGCAGCAGCAGGCACTAGCCCCATGAGTTTCCTGGCCCCCTCCATAGCAGGTGCCAGTTCCAGGTGCTTATCCTCATCCCCGATGAGGTGATGCTGGTGGGCACCTCCATGACCATGTTATGCACCATGGATACTAGACCCCACCAAGATCTCCTCTGCTGTGTGGCACAGAACTTGCACCTTCAGGTGGAGGAGGTAGTTGAAGAGTTGGACTCCATGGTGGATATTCTCACCACTGAAGGTCCATCTAGAGTGGCTTTACCTCTCATAAAAACAATTCAGGCTAACACCAAGGTGCTTTGGCAAATGCCAGCCTCCATGCTCCCTACCACAAAGGGGGTTGAAAGGAAATATTTCATCCCACAAAAGGACTATGGGCTCCTTTTTATCCACCCATAACCAGGCGCATTAGCTGTGGAGGTGGCAAACCACGAGGTACACCAGAATCAGCCCGGGCCTGCACCTAAGGCCAAGGAGCCCAAACAGCTGGAACTTTTTGGTCACAAAGTGTACACCATAGGGGGCTGCAATTGCATGTGTCCAATCAAAGATGAGGCTTAGTCGATATGCCCTCAATTTGTGGAGCACAATGGCTAAATTCTGGGAGTTCCTCCCATAGGATTCATGCTTGGAGTTCTCCGTTCTCCTGGAGGTGGGAAAAGTGGTGTATAGGACATCCTTGCAGGCTGCCTTGGACTCTGCTGATTCCGCGGCTAGAACTGTGGCCACAGCAATAACCATGCGATGCAGTTTCAGGTCTTGGGCATACACCTGATGTACAGACTACCATTCAGAACCTGCCATTTGACTGTGCAGGTCTATTTGCTGAAAATACTGACTCACACCTGCACAGCCTCTGAGATACTTGGGTGACACTAAAATCCCTAGAGATTCACACCCCAACCCCACAGAAGAAGCCATTTAAACGTCAGCCTCCCTTCTGTTTCTACTCTCCTCAACAATGGCATGAGCCTAGCAAATGAAAAGGGAGAAAGAATAGGAAGTGCCAACCACACTCCTCCTTGGGACAGGAACAAGGCCCTTCTAAGCAGTCACAGAGCCCAAAGTCCAATGTTTGAGGTTGCACCTGAGGACATTGTGCTAGAACCCACTCCGGATCGCTCCTCTTCTTTTGGGAATCGTCTGTTGCACTGCCACTGTGCTTGGTCGCACATCACATCAGATCGGTGGGTCCTAAGCACAGTGGGGATGCAACATTCTATCAAGTTCTGTTCCCTACCACCTGTCCACCCCCCTTCCTCGTTCCTCTTCAGGGTTCCCTCTTATGAGCAATTTCTGATGCAGGAGGTGCAGTAGCTCCTAGCTCTGGGGGTGATAAAAGAGGAGTTCCCTCAGGAGTGCAGGGGATTCTGCTCCAGATATTTCCTAATCATAGAGCTGGAAGAGACCTCAGGAGGTCATCAAGTCCAGCCCCCTGCCCAAGGCAGGACCAATCCCACCTAAATTAACCCAACCAGGGCTTTGTTAAGATTCCACCACCTCCCTACGTAACCCATTCCAGTGCTTCACCATCCTCCTAGGGTATGTCTACACTACATGCCTCTGCTGACAGAGGCATGTAAATTAGACATCCCAGACATAGTCAATGAAGTGGGGATTTAAATATCCCCTGCTTCATTAGAATAAAAATGGCTGCTGTGTTGTGCCGGCTCAGCTGTTTGTCGGCACAAAGCGGCAGTCAAGACAGGAATCGATCAGCAAGGAAAGCCTTTGCCGACCGATCCCTTATGACTCCTGCAACGAGCTTTACAGGATCGGTCGGTAAAGGATTTCCTTGCTGATCGATCCCCATCTTGACTGCCGCTTTGTGCCGACAAACAGCTGAGCCGGCACAACACAGCAGCCATTTTTATTCTAATGGAGTGGGGGATATTTAATTTCCCGCTTCATTGACTATGTCGGTATGTCTAAATTTTGTGCCTCTGTCTAGACATACCCCTAGTGAAAAAGTTTTTCCTAATATCCAACCTAAACCTCCCCCACTGTAACTTGAGACCATTGCTCCTCGTTCTGCCATCCGTCACTACTGAGAACAGCCTTTCTCCATCCTCTTTGGAACCTCCCTTCAGGAAGTTGAAGGCTGATGTCAAATCCCCCCTCACTCTTCTCTTCTGCAGTCTAAACAAACCCAAATCCCTCAGTCTCTCCTCATCGGTCATGCGCTCCAGCCCTCTAATCATTTTGGTCACCCTCCACTGGACCCTCTCCAATGCATCCACATCCTTTCTATTGTCGGGGGCCCAGAACTGGACACGCTATTCCAGATGTGGCCTCACCAGAGCCAAACAAAGGCCATTCAGTCCCCAGCCTGAAATAATGTTTGGGATTCTTCTGTCCCAAGTGCAGGACTCTGCACTTGTCCTTGTTGAACCTCTTCAGATTTCTATTGGCCCAATCCTCTAATCTGTCCAGGTCACTCTGGACCCTATCCCTGCCCTCCAGCATATCTACCTCTCCCCCTAGCTTACTGTCATCTGCAAACTTGCTGAGGGTGCAATCTATCCCCTCATCCAGATCATTAATGAAGATGTTGAACAAAACTGGTCCAAGAACTGATCCTTGGGGCACTCCGCCAACCTGAGATCGAGCCATTGATCACTACCCATTGGGCCCGACGGTCTAGCCAGCTTTCTATCCATCTTACAGTCCATTTATCCAATCCATACTCCCTTAACTTGCTGGCAAGAATATTGTGGGAGACCGGATCAAAAGCCTTGCTAAAGTCAAGGTCTATCACATCCACTGACTTTCCCACGTCCACAGAGCCAGTTACCACATCATAGAAGCTAATCAGATTGGTCAGGCACGACTTGCACTTCATGAATCCATGTTGACAATTCCTGATCACTTTCCCCTCTTCCAAGTGCTTCAAAATGGATTCCTTAAGGATCCCCTCCATGATTTTTCCGGGGACTGAGATAAGGCTGACCGGTCTGTAGTTCCCTGGATTGTCCTTCCCTTTTTTGAAGATGGGCACTCCATTTGCCTTTTTCCAATCATCCGGGATCTCTCCCGATCTCCACAACTTTTCAAAGATAATGGCCAAAGGCTCTGCAATGACATTTGCCAACTCCCTCAGTACCCTCGGATGCATTAAATCTGGGCCCATGGATTTATGTACATTTAGCTTTTCTAAATAGTTCCTAATCTGTTCTTTCCCCACCAGGGGCTGTCCACCTTCTTCCCATACTGCATTGCCTAGTGCATTTGCCTGGGAGCTGACCTTGTCCATGAAGACAGAGGCAAAGAAAGCATTGAGTACTTCAGCTTTTCCCACATCATCTGTCACTAGGTTACCTCTCTCATCCAGTAAGGGCCCCACACCCTCTCTGATCACCCTCTTATTGCTAACATGCCTATAGAAACCTTTCTTCTTACCCTTCACATCCCTTGCCAGCTGCAATTCCAATTTCGCTTTTGCCTTCCTGGTAACTCCCCTGCATTCTCGAGCAATATATTTATACTCCTCCCTAGTCATCAGTCCAAGTTTCCACTTCTTGTAAGCTTCCTTTTTGTGTTTAAGCTCACAAACACAATCTGGTTGCCCAAAGTGAAGGGGGGACTCATCCATTTTCAATCTGAGAAACCTCAACGCATTTGTCAAGAAAATGCATTTCCATGTGGTCTTGTTAACCATCATTATTTTCTCCCTGGATCTAGGGGGATGGTATTGACATGAAGGATGCCTTTTACTTCAAACGCACAAAGTGGTTTCACAAATCACCACTTTTTATTGCATTTGCTGAGAGCATGAGGACTTCCCATCTTCTCTGACAAAGAGTCCTGTAGCACCTTATAGTCTAACAGATGTATTGAAGCATAAGCTTTTGTGGGCAAAGACCCACGTCGTCAGATGCAAGTGGGTTGCATCTGACGAAGTGGGTCTTTGCCCAAGAAAGCTTATGCTCCAATACATCTGTTAGTCTATAAGGTGCCACAGGACTCTTTGTCGCTTTTGCAGATCCAGACTAACATGGCTACCCCTCTGATACTTGACACCTTCTCTGAGTATCTCCCATTGGATCACGGCCTGCATAAGGGCATGCTATGACAGGGCGAAGGTTCTACCACCGCCGCGGATGGCACACTCTGCGAGAGCACAGGCTTCTTTGGCTGTGTTTCTTGTGAATGTTCCTACACTGGACATATCTAAGGCAGCAATGTGGGTGTCTGTGCATACTTTCATGTTCCATTATGCCATCACACAGCGAGCAAGGAATGAGGAGGCCTCAGCAGGATGGTCCTTCACACAGCTATGGTTGAGTTCTGACCCCTCCTCCAAGGGAACTGCTAGTAAGACACCTGTTAGAATGCATATGAGCCATCACCTGAAGAAGAAAAAACGGTAACCTATCGGAACTGTTCTTCCAGGTGTGTTGCTCATGTCCATTCCAAATCCCACTTACCTCCCCTTTGTTGGACTGTTCCAGCAAGAAGGAACAAGAGGGCTAGTGGTTGGCAGTGTTTTATATGCTCTGCCCTGGTGGAGCCATTCCAGGGGGCTGCACACACACCTGTCGGAATGGACATGAGCAACATACCTTGAAGAACAACAGTTACAAGAAAGGGATGTGAACGACTAGTCGAGTAGTTGAATATCTGATAAGCAAATGCTTATTGGATAGTCGGCATGGTAGCTGACTAGTCGTTCCTCCCCTTGCTGTCTCTATCAGAAAGAGGTAGCAAGGTGGGGAAGCAGAGGAGGCGCTTCAAAGCGACAGCGCCACATGGAGCCCGGGGCCAGATTCCGGGTTCCACGCAGTGTGCTGCCGCTTTGAAACACCGCGTGCAGCCCAGGGCCACCTGGGAAGTCCCCAGGTTGCATGCAGATTTTCAAAGCAGCAGCACCACAGGGAGCCCAGGTTCAGCTGGGGACTCAAGCAGTCCCCCGCTGGCCCCATGCTCCCTGCGGTGCTTTTGCCTTTGAAGTGTAGCAAAAGCCCTGGGGCTGTTGCTACACTTCAAAGGTGGAGGCAGCTTTATCCACTAATCGAATAGTTGATGCAAATTGCTAAATAATCGAAATGTAACATCCCTATTACAAGAGGTTGGAAACCATTTTTCAGTCTTCAGACTGAGGCATAAAACTGATGTTCCACGTGCTCTTTGTTAAAGACTTGTTCTTCAAGATCAGTAGTGCTAACCTTGGAGTTGATGCCAAATTCCAAGCCAGGTAATTGCCTTCTCCTCTCTAAATCCTCTTGTCAGTTCACTTGGAATAGTATTCTTTCTGATCTGAATTATTTTATTTTGCGGTGCTCTGCTGATCAACTGCTGCATTCCCTTGCCCCCAGAGGTACTGTCTTTGCGTGATGCACTAATTGCTCACCATATAATTTTCAGAATGCTTTGGCATCCTTGAGGTACTATAGAAATAAGGTCTGTGTGTAATGTGACAAATGTTGATTGGTCATTCATTATGTTCCTTCAGATGATGAAGTTATCACTGAGATCTCTGTAATGGTCCCTTGACGTTTGGTCCTCCCCAAGCCACCTGCATCACAGATGCTGTCATTCAGACAGCAAAAAGCTCTTAGAAGTGTCCACTAAGGGGCAGCCTTGTTTGAATGTTTCCCATATTACATGTGGTGAGGAACGAGGTCACCCTTCTTTGAACTTTAGGAGACTGGCTCTCCTAAGGAAAACACTTTCTATGTTGGCATTAGGAGGAACGCCTTTCCAACCATTGTGTGCTCAGACATGTTTTACTGGACTTTCCTGTGAAGTATGTTGGTTTAGTCGTACTTTTAAAGGGTTTGCCTGTAAAATTCTTTATTTGCACAGCACATTTCAAACTGCTCTGTTTGCAGAAATATTTGTGTCTCATGTCCGTAGCAAGGCAAAAATAGCTGAAAATGAGAATAAATTACACAGATCCATACAATGCAGTATTAGCCGACCCAGATTAGTTTTGCTTATTAATGTATTGGATGAAATTAAGAGTTATTAAAATAAGGAAAAGTACTGTACAGCAATGTTACCAAAAACGATTAGGGGTATGGAATCGCTTTTGTACAAAGGCAGATTAAAAAGACTGAGGACTGTTCAGCTAAGATGGCTGATGGGGAGATATGACAGCAAGGGAGGCTTACGTTGGACATTAGGAAAAATGTCCTACTGCCAGGGTGGTTAAGCAGCCTGGGTAAGCACCTTGAATTAAATTGCCTAGGAGGGTTGTGGAATCTCCATCGCTGGAGATATTAAGAACAGGGTAGACAAACATCTCTCAGGGATGATCTAGACAGTGCTTGGTCCTGCCGTGAGGGCAGGGGACTGGCTTGATGACCTCTCGAGGTCCCTTCCAGTTCTATGAGTCTATGACAGATCTATAAAATCATGGTGGTCTAGAGAAAGGGAATACGGAATTCTTTACCTCTTCACGTAACACAAGAACCAAGGGTCTCCAATGAAATTAATCAGCAGCAGTATAAAAGCCAAACAAAGTACTTCTTCATACAGTGTGTAGTGTTCTGCCATCTGCCAACTCTCTCGTCTTGTATGTTGATTGTAAGATTTTGGAGCAGGAACCGTCTCTTTTATGCACAGTTGTACCGCACCTGGCACCACTGGTGCAAGCAGGTCAGTCCAGCCCAGTACACCGTGCCAGCAAGTTATGTTTAGCTGATACAATGTACTGGAAAGACTCCCTGCCAGCCAGCCCCAGCCTCTCCACTGAGCTGGCGCGTCTCTGTGTGCAGGGCTGGGATCTGGGGGGCGGGGCTGGGAGTAGTACCACAGCTGGAGGAGCTGCTGGCATTTTGCGCCTTTCCTTGCTGCCCCTCCCAATGGGAAAAGGAGCAGAACTGCCAACCCTGCCCCTCCCCAGCCCTGTACCCCTAGACGGAGCAACTCTGTGGAGGGGTGGGGACCTGGAAGCTCTGCTCTTTTCCCTGCTGGGAGGGGCAGCAGGAAAAGGAGCTGAATTCCCAGTCTTGCCCTCAGTTTCTCCATGGATTTCTGTCTCGGTGTACAGGGCTGGGGAACAGGGCAGATAGTGCTGCTTTCCCTGCTACCCCCCAGTCCTGTGTACAGAGACAGAGGTCCATAGGATAGGAGTTCTGCTTTCTCCTTTGAGAGGGGTGGGGGAAAGGAGCAAAATGCTGGCAGCTCCTCCAGCTGCCATACCGCCCTCAGCCAAGTATGTACCCAGAGTCCCTTGCGGGATTGCACCAGAGCCTTGTGCAAAATGAATAACGAGCCTCCCTCAGCTTCAGAGCTTGATTTGGTTGTTCTTTAAGTTTAAGGTGATACTGTTACATCCGTAGAGAACCCTCTGGTTGGCAGGTGTCTGCAGCTGCCCCTTTGTTCCATATCCTGATCAGAATGGTAGCTCTCAAGGGGTAGTTCTTAAGTTCTCCACCCAGCGTGCCTGCATTGTGTGTATCCTATGTGTGTGTCCACCGGGCATGCTGCTGCAGGGACCCTCTGTGTGACCTCTTTTCTAGCATGACGTTTGTCAGCCACCTTCAGTTCTCTGATTTATTTTTTCCTTCCCCAGATTTATCTGCATCCCGCCTGGAAAAAGCCAAAGAGATTGGGGCAGATTTCCCTATTCAGATAAAGAAAGAGACCCCAAAGGATGTGGCCTGCGTGGTGCAAGGTTTGCTTAACTGCATGCCTGACATAACCGTGGAGTGCTCCGGCGCAGAAGCCAGCATCCAAAGTGGCATTTACGTGAGTTCCTCCTTCCTCTATCCAAGATCAGAGCCAGCGTCTGCTTCTCTCCTTTTATCTTGATCACTGGCATGACTAAAAATAAAAAGAGAGGTGAAACTATGTGAGAGAACCACTGAATTGGCCAGACTCCCCTGCTAGTAGGCCCATGCATGACAATGGAAATTTCAGGTTTTTGTCCAGCTTGTCCATGTAGATGGTGGGCTGCATCCCCCATAGGCCACTTGGATGAGTTTATCTTGTGGTGGATCTGTGTCAGAGCCGTGGAGTTGTCAGACCTCTGTGCCACCTTTAAGCAGAGTTAGCAGTAGGACAAATTGGACCCTAAGACACCATTTGTACATTTTCTTTCCTCTTACTTCAATGGGACTTGTGTTTGTGTATCTCAGGGCAGAATATTGCTCTGGTGTCCCTCAGGAGAGTGGACCAAATTGGATCCTTTTTGTACATCCCTAGTTGGGCCCCAGACTACACTCTCTGACTCGTAGGGCCTGAGTTTTATTTCCAGGGATTGTCTCTGGCTTACTGCAATGTTCCACACTGTGTCTTGGAGAGGTTGGTGAATTTTTAAGTACTGTGTTCTCTCCCTGCTCCTTTCCCTCCTCTGTTTGTAGATGTCAATGTTGGCTATTGATTGAGATGGGTAGCTCCCCTTCCCTTGAAACCTCACCTTGGGGAAGGCAAGCAATGAGTCAGAAGCACGCTGTGTGCAAGAGAGGGCTGCGTCAGCCCAAGGGAATGTGTCGTGTTGGGTCCCATTTGGGGTAGGCTGTGGTCGTCTGTGGGTAATGGTGATTGGCAGCACTGCAGGATACGGTGCTTACTGACTTGTAGAGCATCTCCTCACTCCCTTATCTGTTAGCATCCCCCAGTCTGTCAAGTGTCCCCTCTTCACAAGAGCATCACCTCACTGCTCCCCGAGTCTTCTCCCACTCATGACTTGCCTTCACTCCGCCACAGCCTGGAACTGTCTCCCAGCTCTTGTCCACCAAGCACCTTCTTTCTCTCTCACCTCAGAGCTCATCATGAGGCCCACCTCCCCCAAGAGTGCCTTGTTCTCCACTCTGCACACTCTCCCTAGGCTTGTGTTTGTATACCTCGTTTGCCTTGTGAGCTTTTCTAGGCAATTTGCTACATGATTTGTACCCTTGAGCCAGGGGTGACAGTAGAGTCTGGGACTTACCAATGAGCCCTGTACTGATCCTGGTGTCCTTAGTAATGGGGGTTGGGTCTGGGCCCCCAGAAGGGGTGGGAGCACACTCTTCCCAGCCAGTCCTTCATGGCTGGCAGCTGGGAGCTCTGGGGCTGCAGTAGTGGAAGCTGGGAACCTTGGAGTTCTGGTGGTGATTTCTGGGATCCCCAGGCCTGGTTTGCAGCTGTTCCTTTTGTCCCCCCCATTCCCCATCAGCAGCCATGCTGGTAGAGTCCTGCAGCACTGCCATAATAGCACTTTAACATCGCTGCCCCTTTTGCCGCTGGGAAAAAGGGAGAGCAAAGCGCCCTACAACTGTTGGCCATGCGCAGGCTGGCACTGGGGGCCAGTTCTTACCGCTGCATCGCATTGGCTCCCTTTCACCTCTGCTAGCAGTACTGTATGAAGGCTAGTTATAGGAAAACAAGGAGTACTGGAATGGAGTCAAATAAGTGAAAATGCAGGCTGAGTGACAGGGCTGTATTCCACACTGTGCATTCTGCTAGGCTGTGGAATGGTTCCCACAGAACACAGGGTAAGGTATTCTAGGGATCAACCCTGCTTCAATGGGCCTCTTCGGTCTCTGGTCCCATCTTCTCCTCAGTCTTTATGCAGGATTCTCACTGTTTTCTGTGAGCGTGCCACAGCAAGGCTAGTGTTTGTACCTCTGTTTTTGGGACTGATCACTGACCAGAGGTCTTCTAGTTATAAGGAATAGCCAGTGTGGATTTGTCAAGAACGGTTCATGCCTAACCAACCTAATTTCCTCCTTCAACAGGATTACTCACCTCGTGGCTACAGGGAAACATTAGGCCAGATGTATCTTGATTTTAATAAGGTTTTGATACTGTCCCACATGACAGTCTCATCGCCAAATTGGGGAAACATGGTCTAGGTGAAATGACTATACTGGTGGGTGCACAATTGGTTGAAAGACTGTACTCAGTAAGTAGTTATTGTTCGCAGTCTAACTGAGAGGTTTGTCCTGGGTCTGATACTCATCAATATTTTCCTTAACGACTTGAATAAGGGAGCAGAAAGAAAGTTTATAAAATGTGTGGATGACACCTAGCTGGGATGGGTTGCAAGTACTTTGAAGAACAGGATTAGAATTCAAAACAATAAGTTGGAGAATTGGTCTGAAATCAAGGGGAGGAAATGCAATAAAGGCAAAGTCTTCCATATAAAAAGGAAAAATCAAATGCACAACAACAAAATAGGGAATGATTGGCTAGGCAGTTGTACCACTAAAAAGAAGCTGGGGGTTAGCATGGATCACAAATTGAATATGAGCTGGGAAAGTGAAGAAATTATGAAGAAGACTGTCATTCTGGGGTGTATTGACATGAGTGTCATACATAAGACTCAGGAGGGATCTGTCCTGCTCTGTTTGGCACTGATGAGGCTTCAGCTGAAATATTGTGTTCGATTCTGCGTGCTGCACTTTAGGAAATATGCAGACAAATGGGCGAAAGTCCAGAGGACAGCAACAAAAATGATAAAACATTTATCAAACTGAATGTATGAGGAAAAATGATAAAAACTGGGCATGTTTAGTCTTGAGCAAACAAGACTGAGGAGGGAGCTGATAATTGTCTTCAGGTATGTTGAGGGCAGTTATAAAGAGAAATGAGTTAATTTGTTCTCCATGTCCACTGAAGGCAGGTGTGACGTAGTGGGGGGTATCTTGCTGGTTGCTATGCTGGGCAGTGGGTTGTGAGTGACCTCCACTGGCTGCTGTCTGCAGCACGGCTCAGCAGGGCAGGGGATGAGTCATTATGCAAAGGGGCTTCGAACCTGTCTGACCAGTATCTCCCAGGGAGCGGAACAATGGGAAGAAGGGGAGTGGAGCCCTGGCTGGTGGCAGGGCTGGAAGGTAGTTAGTTAGGTTTCTGGCTGGTATCATGGAGGAAGCAGCCTAGGCCACGGGCTGGGATTTAGGGGCCCAGGCTCCCCCATCTCAAGGAGGGCTGAGGCATCCTAGGCCTGCCCTGTAACCAGATTACATCTGTGCTGTGCTGCATCCTGGAGAAGCAATAAACTCCCTCTATTCTACTGGCTGGTGGAGTCTGTCCGTGCCACTACAGGGGTGCAGGAGACGGGAAAACCAGAACACGCCGTCACAGCAGGTTAGATATTAGGAAACATTTTCCAACTCTAAGGGTAGTTAAACTCTGGAACAGGCTTCCAAGGGAGTTGGTAGAATTTCTGTCTTTGGAAGTTTTTAAGAACCAGTAAGACATCTACCTCCCAGGGCTGGTCTCAGTTTCCTTGGTCCTGCCTAAGTGCAGGAGGATGACTTCTTGAGGACCCTTCCAGTCCTACATTTCTGTTGTTCTATGATTCTGTTTCCATGCCATTTCCTCTGGCCCAATCTGAATAGGTAGGTGGAATCCAGTGTTTCCTGTAAGCTGTGCACCTATGCAGCCTCTCAGCAGAGATTCAAATGTTACCCAGCTGATTAGCAGAGCACCCACAACCAGGTTTTTTGTTTCTACTGATGGTGCACTGAGCGGGAACATTGGTGGAATGTGCCAACTGTTGCTTCTCACTGGCAGTGCAGCAGATTTTGTCCATAGAGGAAGCAGAGGGTGTAATGTTCTCTGCTGTTTAGCTGGGTGATGAACATGACATAAAAAGAACTTCCATTGTGGGGTGCTAAATGGGTGTCGGAAAGTAAATGTGCTAGTAAGGGATTGAGAACTGCCACTTTCCCTTCCCTACAGAGCTGCTGAGGGATGGTGTTGGAGCTTTTCATCACGGGCAGTCATGTCCCAGCAATATCTGAACATTAAATGTCAGTCTGTACAGTGCTAAAGACCAATCCAACACCCAAGGCATTCTCTGTAATTGAGCCTTTAGGCACTTTCCTATTGAGGGAGTGCGAGGTCTGGGATGGAGGCTGGGTCCAGAAGGGAGTTCTGGGTATGGGTCTGGAGTGCAGAAGAGGGCATGGGGTCTGAGAGATGGGGTATGGGTCTGGAGTGCAGGAGAGGGCATGGGGTCTGAGAGGGAATTTGGGTGAAGGAGGGGATTGTGATCTGGGTCAGGGGATTGGGGTGCAGGAGAGGATTCTGGCCTGGGGGAGGCTGAAAGGAGGGAGGTGCAGGGAGTTGTGACTTGGGGTGGGGTGACGCAGAGGATTTGGATGTGACCTGAGGCAGGCGGGGGTTGTGGCTTGGGGCAAGGAGTTGGGGGGGGAGAAGAAGTGACAGAGGCAGGCTCTGGCCGGGAGGCACTTAGGGTACGTCTACACTACAACGTTAATTCGAACTAACTTAGTTCTAATTAGTTAATTCGAACTAAGCTAATTCGAACTAACGGATCTAGACTAAAAAACTAGTTTGAATTAGCGTTTTGCTAATTCGAACTAGCATGTCCACATTCAGTGGACCCTGAACCGGGGTTAAGGATGGACGGAAGCAGTGCCGGCAGGGCATCAGAGGAGGACTTAGAGCGTGGAGATGCTGTCTCAGGCTAGCCGAGGGCTGCACTTAAAGGGTCCCAGCCCCCACCCCGGACAGACAGTTCTCAGGGGTGCCCCGCTTGCAAAGCAGTCCTGGCTTGGAGTGCCCAGACTACCCCCACTGGGCACATCACAGCACTCGGCCATCAGCCCGGCTGCACTTGCCGCAGGCTGCCATCTGGGGAGAGGGAGCAATTGGG